GCTGTGAATCCTGGGGGTTGGAGAATCACTAGATCTGTTCGATGGTTCATTGATATTCCACCCCATATCATAACGGATCTTCCACCGAACGCTCGAGTTGGATCAACATGATTCGCTTCGAAACGCTCTCGTCTACGTCGCCAAATTCGGATCCTAGCATCATTCCCAAACAGACAAAATCGAGATTCGTCTGTAAACAATACATTTCTCCACTGTCTGGCCATCCAGTTTCGATGATTACGGGCGTAACATAGACGAGTTCACCGGTGCACTGTTGTCAACATGGGCACTCTAGCACGAATTCGTGATCTTAAATTAAACCTCTTTCGCGAAGGCGTCTTCTTATTGTTTGAGTACTAATTCGTCTGCCTGGTAAAGCTTCATTCCCGATTTGTCGCGCAACCCTTGTTGGGACGCGCAGAGCTTCATTGACAATGTTGCGATCCTCCCGATTTGTAGTTATCCTAGGTCGACCTTGACCAAGCCTCCGACGATAAGAATCTGTTTCTTGGTACCAACTAAAAACATGCGATACCGTCGAGCGATTAATACCCATTCTTATTGCTACGGTGCTCAATCCCGCCTCTAGCAGGGCCACAATTTGAGCAGATTGAATTTCAGTAAGCCGAGGCATTTTTAGTAAGAAAATAAAATATCCTGTGCTTTTCTGTATTTTTTTATTAGTATTCACTCTGCATAATAAAATTAATGTTCAATACGGATCCTTCCCCATAATGAGGTTTCGGCATTTGACTCTATCGCGATATTCGTTAAAGACGTCCGAATAACTTCAAAATGGCACTACTCGGTCAAAAAAAATCGTAGAGACTCGAATTTTTTTTCAAAATGTTTGTTGAAAAGTGTACTTTACAATGGTCTACGTGGTATTTTTGAAAAAAAATCGGGGCGATCCAGGTAGCGCGTCAAACAATCAAATCTTTTAAGAAAAAAAATGTTTGGGCTTTATCAAAACATGGAGATGCGGCATCGACTTGCACCTAATTTTGCATCAAGTTTTTCTTAAAGTACAGATAAGATAATTACCTACAAAATGAAAAGAAAATCGTCTTGATACAATGAAAATTGACCGAGTTATGCGCATATTAAAAATAGCAAAATTTCGATGAAAAATTTTGTTGCGATAATTTTGTTGCGTAGTGTATATTAGGGTGGGTCGAAAAAAAATTTTTTTTTTAATTCAATTAGGGATACCCCCCAAAAGTTAGCTATAGACCTCAATATGATCTGGGTAAAATTTCATCAAAATCGATTAATATCTTCAGGTTGTCCTTCGACTTTGAAATTAGTAAATTTACGTATTTCTTTGATACGTGTCAAAATTCGAAAAAATATTTGAATTTCATTACAATTTCAATTTAAATCATACCTGATAAATTTTAGTTAAGGGGATGCTGGAGTGACGGTCGAAGTTAATCAAGGTCGATAGTACAGACTTTTTTAAATTCCAAATTCGACAATAGTGACATCTTTCATTCATTTCTTATACTTATTATATATCGTTGTGTCTCACTCAAACACATTCATCTGTCCTTATCTAACATATTGCAACGCCATCTCTTAGAAAGAGATCAACTAAAATACTGCTCGGTTTCATGGCTAAACAGTCATACATCGTCGATTTCTCACGCGCTAGACACACAATTTCGTTCCTTGCGCTAATCTTTTTATTTAGGCGTTAAAACTTAATTCTAAAGATACGACTGTAATCGTCTATTTATTCTACATGTGCTCCTGCCCTAATTTCGAGCATGTAATGTGCGTATAATTTTTTCACGAAGTAAATGTTTGGTGAGCTGATAGCACATGGATACAGGAATCTGTAATTAATTATTATTTAATTTCCCAGTTTTGGACACAAAATACACCAGGAGCAGGTATATTAGCACGGATATTTCAATCGAGGAGAAGTAATTTTTATTCTGTGCAACTAATTCGAAGAACCGCGCAAGGAACATAAACGCTTGCTTTATCGGTAAAAAAGAAGACTCCAGCATCCCCTTAAACTAGGGTAAAACTGTACATAAAATAATTGTTGGTAAGAGAGCTGTGTCTCCTTTGCGTTACGTGAAACACTATTTTCTCATCGACTAATACATGCTACAAAGAAAGAAAAAATGGCTCCACCACGCGCGGAGGATGGAAGAAGACTACTGTAACAAAATGGCCATGCGGCCGCGCACACACGGACCCAACAGCGCCACCGAAGCGCCATGGAAGCGCCAAGGTAGAGTCGGTAAGCCGAGGCGCGCGATAACGGATTGGCTGAGGCGCATACTTATGATAACAGGCGTTAAGCGCCAACAATAATATTTCAGATTTAAATAATCCCAACATTGGCAACAGGAAAATTTGATAACAAAGTACTATTATATTTATTAATATTTATTTATTAACATTTGTTTGTAAATTCTAAACATTCTTGCATTATGTACTACATAATGCTGCATTATATAGTACATAATGCAAGAATTAAATCATTGTGTTTGTTATTATGTATTTTATTTTATATTATTTGTTATTATGCGTGTATTTTAAATGTACATACAAACAAGTGTTAATAAATAAATATTAATAAATGTAATAGTACTTTGTTATCAAATTTTCCTGTTGTCAATGTTGGATTTATTTAAATCTGAAATATTATTTTATGTATAATTTTAGCGCCTGGTTTGACTAGGCTTTATCAGGTCTGATTTGAATTGAAATTGTAATGAAATTGAAATATTTTTTCGAATTTTGACAAATATATCCAAGAAATACGTAAACTTACTAATTTCAAAGTCGAGGGGCAACCTGAAGATATTAATTGATTTTGATGAAATTTTATCCAGATCATATTGAGGTCTGTAGCCAACTTTTGGAGGGTATTCCTAATCGATCTAAAAAAAAAATTTTTTTTCGACCCACCCTTATATATATAAATATATATATATTGTAATACAATTGCTATGTCTATATTTTATTCAATTGATGGACACTAACTTGACAGACGTTTCGATTTCCACTTTGATTTCCTTTTCAATGTGAAATTAAATAATCCAATAATTTAAGACAAATGTTTCACTTAGTACGTAAACGCAAAGACAATATGTGCAGAATCAGAGCCGAGTGTATCATATTTCAACGTCACATCTTAGTTTATAGTTTCTGACATAGTATTACAAGACCTGGAGTTTCTTTTTCTTAATAAATTGAAAATTGTGCCGTCATGTATACGTTATGTAGACAATATTGCATTCGCAATGAATAAAAAACACATTGGTGAACTTCGTGATATCTTCAATGGACATACCATCCACGATTAAAGTTTACGATAGAAGAGGGTGATGACAGGCTAAACTTTTTAGATACTACGTCGATTAAGGAGAGGAGCTTTCTCACATACGACTGGTTTCACAACTTTACTCTGGACTACTTTCTCTAGTCGTTATCTTAATTACTTTTCATAACATCCTTTAAGTCAGAAGGTAGGAGTTATTGTAGGTTTAGTTGATAGAATTCTTCTTTTGTTGCATCCTATATTTCAAGCTAAGAATTTTGACATGATAGTCAGAATCCTTTTAAAAAATAAATTTAAAAAAATAATATTTTTCGCAATAAATTTATTAATAGTTTTTATAGATTAACATCTTTATAATATATGATGCTTAATGGTAGCATCAAATTATTAAATTGTTTGTCAATTTAATTCGCGATTACTAGAGTAGTTTTAATTGCGTTTATTTAGTCCGGAAAAAATTCGGCGCGCAGTTTGAAAAAGACTACAATATGGTATATATGCAAGTACATATATAGTATATATTAGTAATTCAAGATTGAATTATTTAAAGCAACGAAGATCCAGCTCCAACCGTAATAGGCCGTTACATTCTATTATTAATTGAGTTTCTTTTAAAAAATGTGTTTATCCGTTGAAATTAATTTTTTCCACCATCAAGAATAGACTATACAAGAAATTTGATTTACTGACTAAACAGATCAGCACAATGACAATAAAGAAAAAACAAATAAAAAGAACAAAAACAGAATTTTTTTACAGTTTTGTTCGTATCTGGCATTTCAGATAAAATAAAAAATTTTTTTAAGAACAACACTGTAAGTATAGCATATAGGGAGATAAATGAATTAAGTAACTTCATCAAAGTCCTCAAAGACAAGTTACCATTAATGTTTCACACGAACGTGGTTCATAAAATACAATGTGATGATTGTGACGCGTCATATATGGATCAGACCGGTAGAACCATAAAGTGAAAATTAGCGAACATAAAAACCGTATTAATTGGAACACAAATCAAAGTTTAGTAATCACGAGATTGCAATGTCCTCATGAATTCGATTGGGATAATATAAAAATCTTAGACAAAGAGAAAATTTTAAACAAACGACTTATTTCGGAAATGATTTTTATACGCAAACAAAAGTTGCAGGGTTGGGTAAGTTACTTTTTTTTTTAAATAAGTTAAGTTAAAATTAATAATCTTGAAAATTTAATTTAGTTAAGTACATTAACACTTATACAAGTGTTAATGTATGATGAAATTAATTGAATTAAAAGTTAAGTTAATAAAAAAATGTAATTGAAAAGTTAAAAGTTAAAAATTTATTTTTTTCATGATTTCAGGGTTTCAATCTTAATAATAATGGAAGTGACAATAAAAAAAAACTATTTAGATTTTAGAACATATCCAAAATTTTATTATATGAATTTTTTTTATAATATATATATTTTATAGTAATGTTTTGTTTCTATATATACATATATATATACATATATATACTTTGTTATATATATATATATATATTGTTTCATATTAGACAATAATACATTAGACTTTTGTTTTTTTACATTAGATTATTGTATATGCTTTAAACATTTGTCCGACAAAAATTCCGAAATGGCTTTATTACTTAAATTTATAATAATTAATATAATTATTAAATTAAAGTAATAAAGCCATTTCGAAATTTTTATCGGACATTTTTCCTCGCAAATTATCGAAAATGAGTCCTTCTGCACTGAACAGCCGTTCAACGTGAGCCGAAGATGGTATTGACGTGTTATATTTTATAAAAGCACATTTAAGTGCCTTAGGGAAATCTTTTTCCGTGGCAAACGTATCAGTCGACAAATATGTTTGAATAATATATTCAATTGTCGATTTATCATTTTGTTTCTGGTCCAGCGTCTTATTAAATATAAAAAACTCAGTTTCATCAGTTTTATTTAAATCTTGTTTATTGGACGTACTTAAATAAATTACATTTTCATGGTTAAATTCCTGAACAATCGATTTTAGTAAATCAGTAAGCTCTTTTTTTTTCATTTTCATTCTGTATCCAGCGCAATTTGAAGTCTGGTATCAAACAGGTAGCTATTCTCAGTTTATTGGACTTATAGAGATGGTGAAATCTAAAAATATTGATATATTTTGTTACATTATGTGATATGAAGAGGGGAATAATAAAATTAATCAGTGACGTATTTCATCACTTTTTATCTCTTTTACATGAAATTTTACAAATATTTCAATATAATAAAAATACAGTTTGATGCCAAATTTGCTGAACTTTTAATTGAGATACTCATGAAATTAATTTTCGAGCTAAATTCAATGAAGCACACATTTGCTAGTATATATATTTGTCTAAATTCTCTATTTATCTAGTCATATTATAATATCATCAATACAAACCTTTTACGAATACCTCTTAGTAAAGCATTTAATAATGGTTTTACATAAAGCACCTCAGTTAATTTTGTATTTAAATGCTCTTCAATTGATATCAGCGTAGGTAATAGATATCCCATAAAGATATGTTTGTCTCTTTGTAAGATATCCAGACCTTTGGCAACAGGTCCCATTACCTACAAATTATTAATACAATATCGGACGTAATTAGTATTGTGCTTATATAACGTGAAAGGAAGAATCATTTTAACTTTCAGTGAGATAAATATTAGGATATAATAATCAAAAGAAATCATTTATATATTACTAATTATCAGAGTCCGGATCGCGGTGCTGTTTATTTCCATTCCAAGTGCCGCGCGCCGCTTGGAGTGGAAATAAACAGAACCGCGATCCAGACTTTGATAATTATAATAGAAATCTTATAAAAACATGTATCTTAAAAAACAGGAGCAACATCATTACCGTGCAATATTCTTTAAGAAAGTCAATTTCGGTAGGAGTTAAAATAGGAATTTTTAAGGAAGAAGCTAAAACGTTCACTTGTTCAATATTGTCTGTTACCTCCACTATAGCATCGTAGAACGAATTCCATCTAAATAACGTGCAAATAAACGATAACAAATTAAAAGATGGAAACGATGCACAACGAAAAAAAAAATTTTTATAATCAGTTTATACATAGGCCGGTTATTTATAGTCGATTCTTATTTCAATACCGTCTTAAGTAATGTTTTAAGACACACACTAATATAGTCCTCTGATTGGTTCGTGACACCTCAAAACAAAACTTGAGATCTTGAATATAAGAACTGACAATGAATACCGGCCATAGATATACAGTGAAAAAGCAGAAACAAAACGAAAAAAATGTTGCCATAAAAAACAATATTAAATTTCAAGGCACATGTTAATATTAATAAATAGATTGGACTCATCTTTTGCACACTTCTCTTCTTATTTGTTAGAACGTAATTAAAATGAAGGATCGTAAATATATTTACAAAACATTGGCCACCATAATGTACACATAAACAATATCGATATAACTATTTCCTATTAATATTAATCAGACAATCACTAATTATTACCTTGTAGCATTTGGAACTTTTAAATATTTTCCAAGACTTGCTTTGACCATATCTGCTACGACAGACGATTGATTTTGCTTGTTGAAGATAGCTCGACATTTTGCGAATGCCCTTCTACTCATTTCTTTGTAATTAGTATCTTTTTCAGCAGAAACCATATCGATGGTACTAACTAAATTTAGTGTATGGGAAGCACGTTTCTGTTGAGGTGGTAATCTATAACTTTCTTCACTATTGGCTAAAAATTCGGTTATTTGGACTGACTCTGTACCTTTTCCAGGTTCCTTCTCTGTTCTATCCTCTTCTTTATTCTCACTATACATTCTATAAATATTATTATATTAATAGTATCAATACCGCATTATTAACTATTAAGCTCCTTTCAATTACAAAACTGTAGTTTTTATTTATTTTCTAATTTTCCGTTAAATGTGAATGTATTATATAAGTACATAATTAAATTCGTGAGACACTAAATATACGTACCTAAAAGCTTTTTCAAAATTTCTGGCATTATCCGTTATAATACATGTTGTCTTATGTATCTTGAACATTAAATTCAATTAATATCGATTCAATTGTCTTTTGCGAGAACATCGTATGTATGTTTTCCTTGAAGCCGACGGCACGCAAGTCTTTTTGACTTTCTCTCCAAAGTATCAGGATCCAACCAGTGTATTGTCATACCCAAGTAGGCTCTTAAGATAAAAATGATCATTGGCCAACAATCGCAAATAAAAAGAGATGATTTTTAATAAAATTTGTAATAAAAAATAGATCGATGACCTTTTAAATGCAGTCCAACAATTTGCCGTTAAACCATTCCACTTTGTTTAGTTTTTCGATCAATTCCATTTTCATTTTTACAAACATTTCATCAATGTGCATCATGAGAGTTTTGCGAGTCATAGGTGTTTACTGAATTGTCGTTTCACAAAATTTGATAAATGCTTTATGCTCAACAAATGAAAATGCAGATGCAGTATTAATAACAAGCTCTAAAGTTTGACTTGGTCAAACTGTTGTTTCGTTAAAAATTTATATTTTCCATTTTTTTTAAACTATCCAACTTCTTTTGTTTTAGTTTCGGTTTTCGCTGTAATTCATCAAAATTTTCATTTTCTGATTTTCTTTTAATTGTTCGTGGTCCATTTTTCGAAGCTTTGTTAAAATCCTCCAATTTACTAAGATGTATATGTTGCATAACAAGATTATTCAAATGATAATCAAATAGTGAGTACCGTAGCTTAATTCGAAGAATTCGTTTCATTATTAGTTAAATTATGTGTTTTACGCCAGAAAATGAATATTTCTTTACAAAATTTCGGAACAAATACACAAAAAAATAAAGAGATCCAAATTTTTTTCAGGTTATACGTATTTCACATTTTTGGAACGACTTTTTTTCAATGTATGTGTGTGTATATATATATATATATATATATA